TTGGACCCTTCAAGATTCCTCCGGATTCCTCCCGAGTCCCTAGGATTCTTCAGGATCCCACAGGAACCCGTGGGACCCCCAAAGGTTCTTCAGGATCTCCCCAGGCTTTCTCAGGACCCCGAGGGGCTGCTCAGGATTCCTCCGGATATCTGAGAATTCTTCAGTACACCCAAGGACTCCTCAGGACACGTCAGGATTTTTCAGGGCCCCCATTGACTCCTCAGGGTTTACCAGGACCGCCCCCCCCTTCCAAAGAGTCCGATGGCTTCCTCCTCAGGGTCCACACTGATGTCTCAGGATCCTCCTGCAAGGTTCTCCAGGATGCTTGAAGGCTCCTTGCGATCCCACAGCATTCCTCAGGATCCTCTCTGGGCACCCCTCAGCCCTTCAGGATGTCTCATGACCCCTGAGCATTCTTCAGAATTGCATAGGAATCCTCAGGACACAAGGACTCCTCAGGATCCCCTAGGACTCATCAGGACCCCTCAGGATTCGCCAGGATTCGACAGGATCCATCAGGATTCCTGAGGATTCTTCCCGAGAGCCCAGGACTCCTCATGACGTCACAGAAATCCTTTGGATTCCCCAAGCATTATTCACGATCTCGCCAGGGTTGCTCAGGATCTTGCGGGCCTGCTCAGGGTTCCTTGGGATACCTTCGAATTCTTCAAGGCCCCCAAGACTCATAAGGACACCTCAGGACTCCTCAGGGATCCCGGGGACTCCTCAGGATCCCCGTCGTCGTCGTCGTCGTCGTCGTCGCCGCCGTCGTCGTCGTGAGGGCCCTGAGGGTGTCTAAGCTGCACACAGGGCCGGAGAAAGGGGTAGCGCACGGAAGGCGTTTTCTGTGGAGGGAACAGCACAGATGACGGGGCATACGGGGCCGGAGTGTACGTTTGCCCACCGCGGCGCGAAACCGTCGCAGATGGCTTCTCGCAGGGCCGGAGAAGTCGTCGTCACACAGCGTCTCAGGCCAACAGACACACGGGGCCGGAGTGTGCGCCCGTCCACCGGCGGAATGACAACAGAGGCTCCGGCCTTGACCGGGGCCAGAGTGCACGCCTTTCCGTTGTTGTTGTTGTTGTTGTTGTTGTTGTTGTTGTTGTTGTAGTTGTTGTTGTTGTTGTTGCTATTGTTGTTGTTGCTGTTGTTGAATTCTCACCCCTGAAGAATAGTTATTGTTGATCCCCCTCACCGGTGCATGCTGCTTTTTGTCAATCAGAGTGTGCCCTTCGACGTTCGCACCCTGTTTTTTGACACGGAAAATCTTCCTGCTCAAATTGTCCCCAGGCCCCCGGGTTACAACAACAACGGCTCCCGCCTGAGACTTCCCTACAATTTAGCCAGGACCCCCGCTCCCGCCCAAGACTTCCCAGCATTTTATTCAGGAATCGCGCTCTCGCTTAGGACTTCCTTACAATTTATTCAGGAATCGCTCTCCCGGCGCTCTGGAGTCGCGCTCGCTGGAGACTTGCCTGCAATTTACTGAAGAATGGCCTTGCGTTGGAATTTCTTGCAATTTGCCCAAGCGCAGCGCTCCCGACACCCAGGCACCTAGGAGTCGCACCTGCCCTTCGTGGCCCCGCTGTCGCCATTTGTGTCCCCCTCGCTGTCCTGCGTGGCCCAGTTGCTACCCTCAGTGGCCCCATAGTTGCCTTCAGTGGCCCCGCATTATCTGCCCTTCGTGGCCCCCGCTCGTTCGCGCTTTTCGTGGCCCCATACGCATTCCCTTCTTCGTGTCCCCGCTGTCGCCCTTCGTGGCCTACTTCGTGCATTTCGTGGCCCTGCTGTCGTTCTCTCTCGCTCTCGCTTTCACTCGTCGTCGCCGTCGTCGTCGTCGTCGTCGTCGTCGTCGTCGTCGTCGTCGTGGTCGGTCCCCTGTCCGTCCCTCTTGGGGTCGGGTCGACGGTCCGCGGCCGCCCCGCCGATCAGCGCTGCCGCTGGCCAGGCCGACGGTCCGCGGCCGCCCCGCCGCTTGCCGGGGCCCGGCCTGCAGGGAAGAACGGTATACCACCCAAAAGGGGTTTGATCGAAGACGAAGAGGGAGGGTATCGAGGGTTTGGGAAATACGCGTCATTGGACACTCGAGCATGTAAGGGCGAACGGTCTTGTTGTTGTTGTTGTTGTTGTTGTTGCTGCTGTTGTTGTTGTTGTTGTTGTTGTTGTTGTTGTTGCTGCTGTTGTTGTTGTTGTTGTTGTTGTTGTTGTTGTTGTTGTCGTTGTTGTTGTTGTTGTTGTTGTTGTACGCTTTCTCCGTTGTTGTTGTTGTTGTTGTTGTTGTTGTTGTTGTTCTTGTTGTTGTTGTTGCTGCGGCTGCTGCTGCTTCTGCTGTTGTTGTTGTTGTTGTTGTTGTTGTTGTTGTTGTTGTTGTTGTTGTTGTTGTTTTTGCTGTTGTTGTTGAAACTTCACTTTTGAATGATAATTATTGTTGATCCCCCTACCAGTGCATACTGTTTTCCTCAATCAAAGTGTGCCCGTCGACGCTCGCACACTGTTTTTGGACGGGGGAAGTCAAGTCTTGTTGCTCAATTTGTGCCCTTGGGCCCCGGGTTACAACAGCAACGGCTCCCGCGTGAGACTTCCTCACAATCTAACCAGGACCCCCGCTCCCGCCCGAGATTTCCTTACATTTTATTCAGGAATCGGCTCTCGCTTCGGATCTCTTTACAATTTAGTCAGGAATCGCTCTCCCAGCGCTCTGGAGTCGCGCTCTCGCTGGAGATTTGCTTGCAATTCACTGACGAATAGCGCTGTTGCGTTCGAACTTCTTGCAATTTATTCAAGCGCCGCGCTCCCGACACCCAGGCGCCCAGGAATCGCGCTCACGCTTAGGACTCCCTCACAGATTGTAGGAATCGTGATCTCGCTTTGTTTCGTGGCCCCGTTGCAGCCCCTCGTGGCCCCCTCGCTTTGTTTCGTGGCCCCGTTGCAGCCCTTCGTGGATCCTCGCTGCGCTTCGTGGCCCCGTTGCAGCCCTTTGTGGCCCCCTCGCTTTGTTTCGTGGCCCCGTTGCAGCCCTTCGTGGATTCTCGCTGCGCTTCGTGGCCCCGTTGCAGCCCTTCGTGACCCCCCTCGCTCCCCTTCGTGGCCCCGTTGCAGCCCTTCGTGGCCTCCTCGCTACCCTTCGTGGCCCCGTTGCAGCCCTTCGTGGCCCCGTTGCAGCCCTTCGTGGCCCCCTCGCTTTGTTTCGTGGCCCCGTTGCAGCCCTTCGTGGCCCCCTCGTTGCCCTTCGTGGCCCCATATATGTATGCCCTTCGCGCCCCCCACTCGTTCGCGCCCGTAGTGGCCCCATATGCATGCCCTTCTTGTCCCCGCTGTCGTCCTTCGTGGCCCCGTTGCAGCCCTTCGTGGCCCCGTTTGCTGCCCTCAGCGGCCCCGCCCTTGCCCTCCGCGGCCCAGCATACGTATGCCCTTCGTGGCCCCTGCTCGTTCGCGCCCGTTGTGGCCCCATGTGCATGCCCCTCGTGACCCCGCTGTCGCCGTTTGTGGCCCCCTCACTGTTCTACGTGGCCCAGTTGCTACCCTCAGTGGCCCCATTGTTACCTTCAGTGGCCCCGCATTATCTGCCCTTCGTGGCCCCCGCTCGTTCGCGCTTTTCGTGGCCCCGTATGCATTCCGTTCGTGTTCCCGCTGTTGCCCTTCGTGGCCTACGTCGCGTCCTTCGTGTCCCTGCTGTCGTTCTCTCTCGCTCTCGGTTTCGCCCGTCGTCGCCGTCGTCGCCGTCGTCGTCGTCGTGGTCGGTCCCCTGTCCGTCCTCTTGGGGTCGGGTCGACGGTCCGCGGCCGCCCCGCCGATCAGCGCTGCCGCTGGCCAGGCCGACGGTCCGCGGCCGCCCCGCCGCTTGCCGGGGCCCGGCCTGCAGGGAAGAACGGTATACCACCCAAAAAGGGGTTCGATCGAAGACGAAGAGGGAGGGTATCGAGGGTTTGGGAAATACGCGTTATTGGACACTCGAGCAGATAAGGGCGAACAGTCTTAAAGCGATTGTTGTTGTTGTTGCTGCTGCTGTTGCTGTTGCTGTTGCTATTGCTGTTGCTGTTGTTGTTGTTGTTGTTGTTGTTGCTGCTGTTGTTGTTGTTGCTGTTCACGAGGACACTACTGGGCTTGTTGCTCGACCCCTCCCTTCCCCGAGCAATGCCACGGGGCCACGCAGGGGCCCTGCAGGGGCCCTCCCCCGAGCAATGCCACGGGGCCTCGCCGAGCCCCTGTGGGGGCCCCGCAGGGCCTCTGTGGCGTTGCTCGGGGGTCCCTCCCTTCGGGGCTGCTGCGAGGCGCCTGGGCGTTGCTCGGGTTGCCCTTGCGAGGCCGTATGGGATCTGTACCGGGTCCCATACAGGGCCCATGGGAGCTGTATGGGGTCGCATACAGGCCCAAGGTTTCGTGCCAATTTCACGCGTCGTGGCCCCACTGGGGGCTCAGCCGAGGGCCTCAGTGGGTTTCACCGACGGTTGCGGGCCAATGCCGGCACACCCCTCTCACGTTTCGTGGCCCCAGTGATTCGGGTTAATTTCGGCGCACCCCTTATCCGCCGGTGTCTCCCTGTTCCCGACCGTCCCCGACTCTTCTTGGCCCTGCTCTTCTCCGATGCTGCAGTTTCTCTTCGTGGGTCTCTTGCCAACGATTGTCCCTGTGTTCCGTCGCCGCCAGTTTTTCGTCCAGCCTTGGTCCCGACCGTCCCAGTCACCGGTGTTTCTCGGGTCGTCCCATGATGCGGGGCATAGTCCCGTCTGTGTGTGGTCAGTCTACCTCCACCCGTACACTTTTCCAGATGTGTGCGAGCGCTTACGCAAATGTCTATGCACGCTTGAGTGAGTTTGTTTGTTTGTTTGTTCGTTTGGTTGTTTGTTTGTTTGTTTGTTCGTTCGTTTGTTTGTTTGTTTGTGTGTGGGTGTGCGCGCTGCCTAACTGTTACCAGCGCGATGCAGAGCGCACGCTCGCCGAGGAAACAAATACATGTGTGTGTGTATGTGTGTGTGTGTGTTTCGCGGCCGTTGTCTCACAGGCATCACTCGAAGCCCAGAGTACAATGATTGGGAAATATGGCTCCACGTCCACCTGTCAACGAACTACTCATGGTCGCGCCCTGCGCTCGGGCCTGCCTGCTCTGTGCCATCGCGGCAAGGGCGGCTAACACGGTGCCCAGCAGAGCGAATCTTGATTTGGGGTCGGGCTTCGGCAGAGACTCTGCAGAGAGCCAGATAGGCAATAAGCGTCAGGCTGTAATGCGAGCAGATGGGAACTGGCAGTGGCCAGCTCCAAATCCGATTGCGTTGCCTTCCGTTTCTGGAAGGGATGAGGCTTCCGTCTGGGAGTCAGTGCGAGGCGTCATGGCGCGCAACCAAGGAATCGACCTGGACCCAGTGTCTGGCTCTGGCAGTTCGCTGGTGCAGGGCCAGGCGGGCAATAAGCATGAAGCCGTAATGCGAGCAGAGGAGAAGCGGTGGTGGTGGCCCGCTCCGACTTCGGCTCCGACTCCAGCCCCGCCTCTGGCTGCAACTCCGGCTCCGCCTCCGGCTCCGCCTCCGGCTCCGACTCCGGCTCCGACTCCGGCTCCGACTCCAGTTCCTTTGGGGGCTCACGTGTGGGAGTCAGCGCGAGGCGTCACAGGATTTCCAGAGATGCAGGTGCCCGAGGTCATGGAGAAACCCAACGCCGCGCTCGTTATGTTCGGAGCAGGCACCAAAAGTGCGGTTGAGGAGATAGGTTATTACCAGGCAATGCAGCAGCTGGGCATTCTCGATGAGTACCGCTACGCCATCTCTGCCTCTGGGGGCGCGTGGGGTCTCGGAACATATTTTTATCTAGCCGCTTTCTGCACTCCGCCGACGCTTACAGCAGTATCGGTGTCGTTCGCCTGTGCGCCAGTGAGGATCTGGAATCTGCCTGGTGGCGGCAGTTGTCTCTAACTGCCACGTGAAGCTCGAGTGGGCGAGAAACAGTCGGTAGAGATGTTGAGGGCGACGCTAAACAAAACATGCCACTCCCAAGATTTGTTTTCAAACTGTTGAGGTGTCCTTGCAGTCCACTCGGCTTTCTTGAGCCATCTTGGGCTGTCTTGTCCTCTGCGTCATCTTGAGGTATCTTGGACCCATCTTGGTGCCACTTGAAAGCTGACGCCCGCGGACTTGCACTCTCGGGGCCGCTTTCGCAGGCTTTTGGGGGCCGACGCCGATTGGCACGCACTCTTGGGCCACCCCCCTTGGGGGCTCCCTTGCGGCCCTGTTGCCAGTCGACGAGGCCCGCTGCGGACCTCCGCGAGTGAGAGGCACCCCCCTTCGACGTGCACGCGGGGTCCCCCCGCCCATGGGCGGGCCGGGTGCACGACGGGTGCGGCGACTGCTCACGACGCGGTCGGGAGGCAGGCGTCACCGCCCCCCAAATAATAGGCTACCCCCCCCTTTCACGACCGATACTTAACTATCCCCGGCCAGAGAGTGGGGGAGAGGGGCGGCAAGGCCGAACTTTATGATCGCGGCGGAAAGTTGCGAGTCGACGCCCTTGCCCACGTTCTCTGAGGCTCGCGACGCTTTTCGGCGGCCCCGCGGGCCCTGACCTTGGCATGCGCGTGTGCCGCCCCCGAGCGCCTCCCATGGGGGAGGGGCGCCTCTCCCGCGACCATTTTTTTGTCGGGCCCGACGGACTGGTGCCAGTCCCTTCGGCGGAGAGGCCCGCATGCTGGCCGCCGCAAGTTCGCGACCACCTCAGACAGCATTCGCAGGCCTAGGGGTCGACACAGGAGGAGGAGGAGGAGGAGGAGGAGGAGGAGGAGGAGGAGGAGGAGGAGGAGGAGGAGGAAAGCAGGAAGATGAGGAGGAAGACGCAGAAGGATAGAGAAGAGGAGAGGGTGGGGAAGAGGTAGAGGACGAGGCGAAGAAGGGGGGCGAGGACATGGAGACACTGGAGGTGGAACAGAAAACAGGGGTACAGTTCAGCGACGACCGTATCAGCAACGTGCGAACAGCTCCAGCGTCGGCTCCAGACGACAAGTGGGAGCCGAAGGCCGGGCGTTGTCGTCGGTCGTTGTCACCGCTGTCGCGGCCGTCCTCTGCGTCGTCGTCTTCGAGGGCGCCCCCCTCTTCGTTCTGATTCGAGTTTGCAATCGGGGGCGTCTGCGCTAGAATCCATGCGCGCGATGCGCGCGCGAATTATTTTTTGTTATATATATATATATATATATATATAGATGTGTATGCGCGCAGCCAGCGATCTATACATATATATATATATAGGTATATATATAGAGAGAGAGAGAGAGAGAGAGAGAGAGAGGGGGAGTGAGAGAGAGAGAGAGAGAAAAAACAGAGAGTGAGAGAGAGAGAGAGAAGAAGAGAGAGAGAGAGAGATACATAAAGTGCGAGAGAGAGTGGAAAAGAGGGAGAGAGAGAGGGAGGGAGTGAGGAAGAGAGAGAGAGAGAGAGAGAACAAGAGAGAGAGAGAGAGAGAGCGAGCGAGAGAGAGAGAGAGAGAGACAGAAAGAGGTATAGAGAAGAGAGGGATACATAACTATATATAGAGAGAGAGAGGGAGAGAGATATATTGAAAGAGAAAGAGAGAGAGAGAGAGAGAGAGAGAGAGAGAGAGGGAGAGACATATAATAAGCAGACGAACGCAGTAATTATATATATACATACCTGTATAAAAGGGGAGAGAGATATAGAGTGGGACATAGAGAAGGAGAGAGAAAGTGAGAGAGAGAGATGATTATAGAACACGAGCCGTAGAAAGTGAGCGAGGGAGAGAGAGAGAGAGAGAGAGAGAGAGAGTGAGAGAGAAAGAGGGACAGAGAGAGAGAGAGAGAGCGAGAGAGAAAGAGAGAGGGATAGAGAGAGAGAGAGAGATGGAGAGATAAGAAAACAAAAACAAAAACATATAGAGAGGAAGCAGAGAGGTCGTTCGCTGGCAGGCGCAGCGCTTGCAGCGGGGCGCGCCGCGCATCTCGCGCCGCGGGAAAATCCGAGCCCGGCCGACGACGCTGGCGCGGAGGGCGCGGCCTGGCGTGTTGCGGCCGGTGCGAGCGACCGCAGCTGCTTTGCCCGCGTTACCTGGGCGCTGGCGTGCGAAGCCAACTGCGGCCTGTGGGTGGGCTGCGCGGGCGGCGCGGACGCTCCGGCAGGCCTGTCCAGCCGTTAGGATTGCGGCCTCAGGGTAGTTTACCAGCCTCGAACGTATCCCTATCCCTAAGGTCGACACGCCAAAAGGCGATGACAATCTCAGGGATTCGCCCTCAAAAAATAAGGGAACCCCTGAGATTGGCATAGGGATGGGGATATGTTCAGGGCTGGTAAGTAGTCCGAGGCGCGCATGTGGACACGGCCGGTCTGGGGCGCGCGGTTCGACGGCCCGACGCCGTGGTTGGCGGTTCGCGCGAGTCGCGAGGAGGGCCGACAGGTGCGGGGGCGTGCGCGCCGCGGGAGAAGGCTGCGAGCCGCCGCGCGTGCGCGAGCGGGATCCCGTCTGATAGCAGATTTCCAGTGCTTGGTGTGCGCGCCGCAAGGCGGCGCGTGCCTGGCGGGGCGGGCCACCGTCGGTGCGGGCAGCGTGCGCGCGGCGAGTCGAGCGCGGTGTTCTGCGCCTGCTTCTCTGCGCGTGCTTGCGTGTGCTATGGGGGGCAAAGACCGCTCGGGTCGGGCGAAAGGGGGGGATTGGGAAAGGGGGGGTTACGAAATTTGCTGCATGCAGCTGGTTTCGGCCTCACCGAGGGGCCCATTCCTCGATACATAGCCGCCTCCGGCGCCGGGAGGCGCCGGGAAAATCAGCTACGTGAGCTGATTCTCAAACCCCCCCTTTGCTATCCCCCCCTTTCGCCCGACCCGAACCGCGCGCGTCAGACTGGCAGGGCGCGCGCGAAGTTTTTTTTGGCTAAGCGCGTTTGCTGGCTTGTGTCCCGGCGCGCCCCGCTGTGCCCTTGCTTGGGCTATCGATGTCGTTTTTGGCATTGGCTTTCTGTCTGCGGCCGAATTGAGGGGCGCCGACCCGGACGGCCTTGAGGGCTGGGCGGCGACGGTGGCGGTGATACGCGACGCCGTGCCGAGCTTGACGAATGCCGTGCAAGAGCGAACGGCGGCGCAGCGCTGCACGGTTACCGCGGCGCGGCGCGCGCGCGCGCGCGCTAGCGCCCGCGTGCGCGGGCGCCTCGTGGCAGGTGCGCGCGGGGGAAGCGCGCCGCCGTGCCCCGGGGTCGCGCTCCCCGCTGGGGCAAGTGGCCCACGTGCCGGCGAGCAACGTGGCTGGCGAGATGGTCGACGAGGCACTGGAGAGCTCTTGCGTCTCCAGGGCGCGAGTGGCGACCGGGCCAGAAGCCGCGACGAGCGACTTGCCTGTCGTGCTGGCGTCCAACGGCGTGGAATGCGGCAGTGCTAGGCAATGACCTGAACGCCGGAGGAAGCATTGGAGCTGGCTGGCGGCGGCGGCGTCGGTTCGCCCGCTCGAGCGCCGTCCTTCGGACCCGGGCCGATCGAGCTCAGCCGCCCTCTGTCCGCGGTGTGGTTTTCTGGGACTTGGCGTGAAGTGCGCTGGTGCCTTCGCGAATTGCGTTTCACGCGTGCAGGCGGGGTGCTTCCTTGCGGGTGCGTCGATCGCTGTCTTCGATCACCCCGTTGTGAAAAGGGCGGAGGTATCCGTCGCCTTCCGAGGGCCGCGCGTCTCGAGGCCGCGTCGCTTCGCGCGGCGCGCCTTGTCGGGGGGTTTCGCGCGCTTGGCCGGCTCGGACGAAGCGGCGTAACAATGGTGCTACCTGTGGGTCGCCCTCTATGGCCCCCGCTTTCGCGCGCCGTTCAGGGCCGGCGACGCGGGGGCGCCGGCCGCGCGGCGAGCCTGCTTGTACGTTCAGGGTGGCGAGATGCGCGCGAAGCTCTGAACAGTGGAGAATCGCCGCCAGGGCAGCTTGCTCTCAAGGTGGTGCTGGTGCAAATATTCCAGCATCACGTGCCCCGTCCACGCGCTGGGACCGTTGCGCGCCGGGCGCCGCTGGGGGGGGCCGCTGTTCCCGCTCGTTTCGCCAGCGTCGGCGCTGCGCGAATTGCACAGAGCACTGCGCGTCCTGGCCGTCCCCGGCGCGGCGCATGGCTGCGCGCGCGATTTCAGGCGTGGTCACGCTGGTGCGCCGGCGCGCGCAGCATTGCGTGAGAGACCCCCCCCCCGGCGGCGCTGTGCAGGACGTGCGTGCACCTGGCCGCCCCGTGGCGCGTGGCCGTCGGCTGGGCCCTCGCATCGCCTGGCGCGCCAGGTCGCCCGCGTGCCACGCCGCGTGCCGGGGTGCTCGCCCTCTGGAGGAGGGCGCGGCCGCGTCGATCCCCGCGTCGCCGACTCTGCTGGTGAGGAAGGGCCATCGCGCGGCCCCCTCGCCTGGCCGTCGCGCGGCGACGGGCCCGTGGGCGGCGCGCGGGCGCCGAGCGGGGGGCCTTGGCTCTGGTGGCGGTGGGTCGTTTGCACGCGGGCGCTCCGCGCGGCGGCCGGCGCGCGCGCGGCCGGGCTGCGCGGGGCGGCCGTCGGCGGAGCGCCGCGGCCCGGCGCCGTGGGCGCGGCGTTCCAGTTGGGGTCGCCACGCCTGCGCACCGCCCGCGAATTTGCAGCGAGGTGACAACGCGCAACGGGGACTGGTGACGCATGCGCTCCGGGCTGTCAGCGGTCGCAGAGTCTGCGCGGCGCCCCGTGCCGACGGCGGGCGGCGACGCCGACGCGCGCCGGCTTGCGCCGGCCGCGGAGGTGCGTCGCGCAGTGTGGGGGGGGGGGGGCGCGCTCTTGGCCGTGGGGCTGCCTCCCGATCGGCTCTGCGCCCGCGCGGGCGGGGGGGGGGGCGCCTTTGAGGAGAGAAAGAAGCACACAGACACAATGAATCGTCGCTTCCCAGGGACAAAAATAGGAAAATATGGGAAATAGGGGGGAAGACGAAACAAACCAAAGAAAAGATACGAAAATAGGAGGAACCCTGTTCTTTGTGTGTGTATTTATTTGTGTGTCCCAGGGCCCCTTCAGCCTTGTTTCGCCCCGCCCACCGCCCCGCCCACCGCCCTCTGGTCGTTTGCGCCAAGTCACTCCGCGCGGCGGCCGGCGCGCGCGCGGCCGGGGTGCGTCGGGGCACCGCGGCCGTGGGCTGCGCGGGGCGGCCGTCGGAGGAGCGCCGCAGACCCGCGCCGTGGGCGCGGCGTTCCAGTTCGGGTGGCTCTTTGTGCGCGCCGCCCATGCATGATGTGCGTGTGTGAAAGAGAGAGAGAGAGAGAGAGAGAGAGAGAGAGAGCAAGAGAGAGAGAAGTCGAAAAAAGAAAGAGAGGGAGAGAAGTCAAAAAGGAGAGATTATGAGAGAGAGAGAGAGAGAGAGAAAGAGACAGAGACAGAGGCCAACACACATATAAATGTGTATATGCTTATCTGTGTATGTATATGTATATAGAGGGACGGAGAGAGAGAGAGAGAGAGAGAGAGAGATAAAGTGAGAGAGAGAGAGAGAGAACAGAGAGAGAGAGAGAGAGAGAGCGAGCGAGCGAGCGTTCGCCGCGCGCGCTGAACGTGCTGCAGACAAACCCACCAAAACGCCCGCCCCCGTGATTGCCCCGAAACCCGAGCCGAAGAAAGCCACAAGAAACCCCAGAGATGGCCGAAGAGGTCCGCGAAGAGGAGGCCCGACGGCGGCCAAAGCCCCCCAAGACGGCCCGAGTGGGCTCCAGGAGTGCCAGAGAGGCTTTCGGAGAGGCCCCCGAGGGGGGCCCAAGAGGGCCCCGCGACGGCCCCAGCTCCTTTAGACGTCCCAGAAATGCCCCAGGACGGCCCAGGAGGACCCCCCAAAAAGGCCCCCAAAGGGCCTTCAGCAATGCCCGGAGATTCTCACAAGGTTCTGGCTGGATTTATGCGGTTTGACGTTGCAAATCCTAACGCCAAGGCGCCTCGGTAAGGACGGTGGTGTGAGCCCTCGGGCCCAAATATGGCCGAGTGACGGACGCAACTTTGATTCCAAGGCTCCCGCTTCCAGGTGGCCCGATGACGGACAAGGTTTTGAACGCCAAGGCCCCCCAGTCGCAAACAGTGGGGCTGAATGCTCTTAAAGCCAAGGATCCCCAAATCGAATGGTGTCGCGTCAACGGCGCCTAGCGCCAAGGCTTGCAAGAGCGAGCAGGTGACGCAACAGACTCTCACCACCAAGGCTCCCGAGGAGGAGGAGGAGGAGGAGGAGGAGGAGGAGGAGGAGGAGGAGGAGGAGGAGGAGGAGGAGGAGGAGGAGGAGGAGGAGGAGGAGGTGGATCGAGCGGTAACGTGAACAGCTCTTGACGTCAGTGCTCCCACGATCGAGCGGCGACGTGATAAAACGCTTCATGCCAAGGCTCCCACGAGCGAGCGGTGACCTGCAGAGCTCTTGACGGCAAGGCTCCCAGGAGCGAGCGGTGACGTACACACTCGTAATGCCCACGCTCCCGAGAGCGAACGGTGCCGTGAGCCCTCGCGGGCAAGTTCCTGGAGCGCTCTTCCGTACCCTTGCCAGCCCATGTTCAGGAGGGAAAACACACACAGACACAGTTAATCGCCGATTCCCCAGAAAATATGCGAACATATGGGAAATGGTGGGGAAGACAGAAACCAAGAACAAATGGGAAAATATGGGTAATCTTTTGATTTGTGTGTATTTATTTGTGTGTCCTGGGGCCCCTTTACATGTGACGGAAAGAGCGCGGTACGAGTGCTGACGTTGATTCGGGGCCACTCGCCCTCGAGGTGGGTATCCCGGGGGGGTGGCGAAGGCTGGGCGTCTTGGCGTAGCACGCCCCATCTCCCCACCCCCCCACCGAGACGGCGGAAACGGGTGCCAAGAGCGACTATGATGCCCACAGAACGGTCCCAGATAATCCAAGGCGGTTTCACAGAGGCCCAAGAGGACGCAAAGAAGGTCCAGCAGTGTTCCAGTGGGGGCCAAGGTGGCCTTCATGCGGCCCATGGGGTGACGAAGGAGTCCCAAGAGGGCCCCAAAAGATCTCTAAGAGGGCCGCGAGAGGCAAACATCGTTGATCGCCCTTCGGTTTTTCAAGGCTGTTGGCCTTCTCTCCTGTTCAGGTTTGCGACAGGACAGGAGTGCCCCGCTCCGTGACGGCCCAAGAGCAGGAGGCCTTCCAGACGGCCCTAGAAGGCACCAAGACAGCCCAGGAGGCCCCCAAGACCGCACTGGAGGGCCTCAAGAGGATCCCCAAAGGCTTCCAAGAGAGTCAAAGAGGGCCACGGGAGGCTCCAGAGAAGGTCGAAGAGGGTCCCAAGATCCCCCAAGTCGGCCCGAGAGGCCCTCAAGAGGACTCCCAAGATAGTCTGAGGATGCCAAACCATGTTCCAGGTTCTCGCCTTTTCGGGCCAAGATCGGCCGAACACGGTTTTGTGGCCTCCGAGATTGCCCTAAGGCGGCCCGGGAGGCTTCCAAGAGGGCCCCACGACGGCCACGGAGAGCCCCAGGGGCCAAAGAGGGCCTCAAGAGTTCCCCAAGAGAGCCCACGAGGGACATAGGAGGCCCCAGAGAGAGCCCAAGAGGGCCCAAGGTGGCCCAATCCCCCCAAAAGCCTAAGAGCGAACGGTGACGTAACCCGCTCTGAACATTCCAGAGGTCCCGATAATGAACGGTAGCGTAAACAACTCTTCACGCCAAGGCTCCCAAGATCGAACGTTGACGTGCAAATCTCTTAATGCCAAGGCTCCCAAGAGCGAACGGTGTCGAGAAGAAGCTCTTCATGCCAAGGCCCCCAAGAGCGAACGGGGACGTGGAGAAACTCTTAACGCCAAGGCTCCCAGTAGCGAATGGTATCATGAGCCCCCTCGGGCAAGTTCCTCAAACGCTCTTCCCGTTCCCGTGCCAGCCAATGTCTAACATGCTTTGGGCCCGCTGGGCTAGCGAATTTCCAGAACGACTCTACGACGTCGCGCGAGGATTATTTCGGGGCGCCTCATGATGGCTTGCAGCGAGCAGACGTGTGCATACACGAGAATTGTGGAGACTGCGTAGAGCCGGGTGTGTGCAAGGTCCCTGGATTCATCAAGCCTCTCTTTCGCCAGAAGAAACACATTTTGGATTCTCTGGGCAGTGCGGCTCTCGATGTGAGCTTGGACTTCATCAAGCGCTCACTTGGAAAGTGGGTCAGCATCGATCGAGACGGGCATTTGCTCAATGATACCGAGGCGGAGGAGTGCTGGGAGCGTTTTGTATATAATACTTGGTTAAAGGATGCGAATGTGCATAGAGATTCCATTATGGCGTTCAACCAAGAGCATGCGCAACACATCCGCAGGTCTCACACGTGGATCTCCGCAAGTCCAGGGCAACCTGCACCTCCTGTTATCACTCCGTCGCTTCCGAAAGCACCATATTTGATGTTCTTGGGTGTCGTCTGCCAACTCTCAGATTACACCCCTGATGCGAATCCGCCGTATCAGCCGCTCGTGATGTCATCCATATACACAGGAGTAAACCCAGAGTCCGACGTCGAGTTTGAGTACAGCCCAGCGGATAATTTGTGGGATTCATGGTTTGGTTGGACACGACGTCGCAAGGCCACCGTGCGCATGGGTGGTTTTGTGGAGACGAGTGCGTTTGGTTCAAAGTTTGGTGATACAATCAAGAGTGCACCTTATCTTGGATCCACTGGCAATACAGTGAGTCCAGCGGACATCTGGCAGACCACCAACCGCAGACGCCGGGACCGCCAGAAGAAGCCGTTCTCTCTCGCAGATGCTCTTACCATCACTTCTGACTTCATTGGCCCTGCTTCAGAGTTCCCAGTCGCGTTTGTTAAGTACCCAGGGCTCGCGCTGGGTATCCAAGAGACCTATGTGTCCCCTTCTAGGGCTGCACGTGGCGAAACACTTGCACCATCAGAGATTTATCTGGGAGACGGGGGAACTCTTACAACCACTCCAGTGCCAGAGATGCTGGCTCGGGGCGTGCGGTGCATCACCCTCTTCATCGTCGCTGACGCTCCTCTGCCTACTTGCGTGAAGTATAATCCATGGGGCCCTGATCCCATCAGCCCGAGGTTGACGCCTCCAATTGGGGATAACCTTGATGGAATATCGGACGATATTTCAAGCTTGTTCGGCATGTTCGACGAGGAAGCAGCTGGCTTTACTGCTGCAGTAGGGCGGGACAAAAAACACAATCAGGTATTTGCCAAAGAGTATTTTGGCTGTCTCGTTCGGCAGATGCAAGACCTTATCGTCGCTGGCAAGGCCCCCATTGTGGAGATGAATTTGGAAAGTGTTGCAAACAGAAGGTGGAACGTTCAGGCGGGGCATCGCGTGCGCGTGACCTTTGTGAAAAATGAGCGAAATCCTAAGTTCGAGGCGGAAGTTCAAACCGCTATGGGAGACCCAGGTGCTTGGGAGAGGTTCAGGGAACGCTGGAGGGAGCTCTGGTCGAAAGACTTCCCCTTCGCAAACACGTTCTCGTTCTCGCTGCTGGATGTTCCGCTCCAGCACTCCAACATTCGGGCCGGACGAAAGGGGGGGATTGGGAAAGGGGGGGTCACGAAATTTGCTGCATGCAGCTGGTTTCGGCCTCACCGAGGGGTCCATTCCTCGATACATAGCCGCCTCCGGCGCCGGGAGGCGCCAGAAAAATCAGCTACGTGAGCTGATTCTCAAACACCCCCTTTGCTATCCCCCCCTTTCGCCCGACCCGAAACATGCTGATGCAGCACGGGCAGCGCTACGTGCTCGACCACGCGGCGCAGTTCCGGCAGGCGGCGAGGTGCCCCGCAGAGATCGGCCCGCCGCCCCCGTGCTCGGCGAGCCCCTGCGGTGGGCAGGCTGCCGCCTGAGTGCAGCCGGCAGCTGTCGGGAGCGGAAAAGAGGGGGGTGATGACTGGGGGGGGTGGATATCATGGCGTGGGCCATGATATTTCCCCAGATTTCATGGCGCCTCCTCTTATTTCATCACGTCCCTGGGCCCCCCGCTGGGCCGCGCACATGCCGCCGGTCATGATTTGCACCCCCCCCTCTTGGACACCCCCCTGGCCCCCCCCGGGAACGAGGCAGAGCAGCGCAGCACGAGCTCGTCTGCCGTGGCACCACGGCGAAGCCCCGGCGGGAGCACTGCCCGTGGAGGTGCCGCGGCGCGCGACACAGTCAGAGTCTCCTTGGAAGATGGCAAGGGCGGAGGGGGAGGGGGAGGAGGAGGGGAGGAGGGAGGAGGAGGAGGAGGAGGAGGGAGGAGGAGGAGGAGGAGGAGGGGGAGGAGGAGGAGGAGGAGGAGGAGGAGGAGAGGAGGAGGAGGAGGAGGAGGAGGAGGAGGAGGAGGAGGAGGAGGAGGAGGCCTGGGTGGGTGCCTGCCTCCTCGAGCCCCTCGGCGGGCCGCGGGTGTCGCGGCGGTGGACGCAGCACGGCCTGCGAGATGTGCCGGGAAGGGCCCAGCGGTCAACGCCACCGCGGCCGCGTCCGTCGCTCCAGACTGACTGGCCGCTCTGCTCGCGAGCCTGCGCGCGTTAGCGCGGCCGCAGCGAGGCGCCGTCAGCGCCCAGCACTCGTGGCAATCGTCGCCGCGTGGGTTTTACAGACCAAGTTGCGGGCGTGTGAATGGGATGATGGCGCGGTCAGTGGAGCTGACATTCTCAAGTTCGGCAGTGTGATTTGCGCCGCGCAGGTTGCATCGCATAGATGGCACGACATATGTCGCACCTCGTAAATTCTCCTTTCTAAAAACAATATGGGTTCTCCCCCTTCCCCCCCCAGGGTTCAAGACCCCCTGGGCGCCGATGTAGAACGCAATCGATTCCGACCCAATGTCCATCCTACCTGTGATTTCATACTATCCAGCCAGGCTGGTTTCGCCCCCCCCCCCCCCCCCCCCCGCCCGCCATCTTTTGCAAAGCGTATCAAGTGCGCATTCGTTTATCAAGAGTCTCAAGTTTCCAAGAACCCCTTGCAAAACAAAGCTGGACGAAGTGCGCACGCGCGCGTCGTCGCGCGCGCATGCCGGAATCCTTCAAACATTCTCGGTTTCGAAAGGATTTCCAAGTCGAGTTTCCAAAATACATACAAAAACATTGTGTTCCGCAGCACGAATTTTCAAACAAAGCATGCGCGCGCTCTTGCGAATTCTTATGAAAAGCCATCGGATTTTCAATATTTCAGGAAGTACTACCAAACGGGCTTCGCGCGCGCGTATGTCGAAATCGTTCGAACGCCCTTGCGTGCGTGCCGTCGCGAGAATCCTTTGCAAACCAAAAGGGACGAAGTGCACGCGCGCGCGTCGTCGCGCGCGCATGCAGAAATCCTTAAACAAATTCTCGGTTTCGAAAGGAACTTCCAATCGAGTGTCCAACAAACATACACGAACACTCGATTTCGCAACGCTGATTTTCAAGAAAAGCGTGCGCGCGCTCTTGCGAATTCTTAAGAAGACCATGCTTTTCAATTTTTCATCACATGCTACCAAGCGGGCTTCGCGCGCGCAGTTCGAAATCGTTCGAACGCCCTTGCGCGCGTGCTGGAGTGCCACGATCCGTGTCGAATAAGACCATGGGGGCCACTCTCGCTCGTCAGCCGCGCGCGCATTTCGAATTCTTTTCGAAACCTTCATCACCGACGCGATGACGCCGTCATCGTCGTCGGCGTGATCGGCATCGGCGCCGTCACTGGCCGTGCCGTCGTCGGTGTCAGCATCGTCACCAACATCGCTACTAGTATCATCATCATCATCATCATCATCATCAGCATCATCATCATCATCATCATCATCATAATCACCATCATCATCATCATAATCATCATCATCATCGTGTCTACAAGTGTCGACGTTGCCATGATACCGCGCCCGCCCAAGTCGCCGACTCGCACAAATGCCCGCCTGGATGTGCCCAGCGGTCAGCACCACCGCGGCCTCGTCGGTCGTGCCAAACTATTTGGCCGTTGCGCGCGCATGCGCGGGCCGGCGCGGCCGCAGAGATGCACCAACCAACGCCAAGCTCTCATCGCAATCGCCGCCGCATGAGGTTAGCAAACGAAGCTGCGGGTGGGCGGGTGGGTGGGATGTTTGCGCGAGCAGTGTAATGGACATTTCATTGCATAGATTGCACCACATCTATTGCACAATCTATGTTGCACAGCATGCGGCGTACACCATCGATTGCGCCACTTGTATGCCACCACGTAGATTGCACCACAAACGTTGTACAACACATATAGCTTCACATATACCGATGCGCATGTTTTGTACCACGTATATGTAAATGTATATGTAGGTGTATATGTATATGTATGTGTATATGTGTATGTATATGTCTATGCACATATATATATGTATATGTCTATGTATATGTATGTGTATATGCATATGTATATATATATATATATGTATATGTATATGTATATGTACATGTATATGTATATGTATATGTATAGGTATATGTATATGTATATGTATATGTACATGTACATATATATATGTATATGTATATGTATATGTATATGTAAGGCATATGTATATGTATATGTATATGTATATGTATATGTATATGTATATGTATATGTATATGTATATGTATATGTATGTGTATATGTATATGTATATGTATATGTATATGTATATGTATATGTATATGTATATGTATATGTATATGTATATGTATATGTATATGTTTATGAATATATATATATATATATATGTATGTGTACGTGTATGTGTATGTGAATGTGAATGTGTATATGTATATGGATATGGATATGGATATGTGTGTGTACATGGATATGTACACACACATAAATATATATAACCACATCATATTGCACCACATCGGTTGCACTACATCGGCTGCGCAACATGTCGCCAGATAAACCGCTAGAAACACGCGTTTTGGGGTCCACGCTGGCTAGCATTTTTTTGGCTTTGTCGTTCGTGTGCGTTTGTGGTGGGCCAGATACGAAGTCCTCGCTGGGGGCACCGCTTCGCGCCGCGTTGTGCGAGTGGCGCCCGCCGCTCCTGGCTCTGGCGCCCGCCGCCAGTGAGGGGGCTCCCCCGCTGGCCGGCCCCGCTGCTTCCTTCTGGCCGCCGCCTGGCCAGACGCTGCGATGTCTTCCGAGTGCAGCGCGGGCGGCATGCCTTTTGGCTCGGCCATCGCGGCGCTGGCGGCACAGGACACCGTGTTCTCGGGGGGCACATCTCGCGGGCGTGACGCCGAGAAGGGGTCGTGGGCAGGAGTGGGGCCGGGAGCGGGAGCAGAAGCAGGAGGGCTGTGAGGAGGACGGGGAGGAAAAAGCATCGCCACGCGCGATGGAGCATAGTATGTCTCCAGACCCGCACCTGGGCGAGCTTGCAGGGCTCGGCAACAGCTACGGTTTCGAAGGTGGTATCCCGGTAGGCAAGGTGCTCGGAGGGTTTGCCCACGACCAGACTAGAATTTGAAAGTCAACCAGGGCATCAAGCTTTTCGCGTGCAGGCCTTTTTCCTTGACGCGTTCACGCGACAGGGGCGTACGGATCGCCCCTGTTGTCAATACACCCCATGTGGCGGCCATGAACATCGTACGCGTGCTTCCGCAGGGCACTGATGGCGATGAATCTGCAGACTGCGTCCGAGCCCAGGCAGAAGCTGAAAGTTGGGGGGGCCTCCAATCCCAGACATGCGACGTCCTGATTTTTTCAGGACGACATCCCCGGAAGTCCCGCCCCTTTCCCCGGGACTGGTTTCTCATCCTGAGTCTTTTTGTTTACGCTCCCGTGGCCCTGCGAGGGCCCTCCGAGGCCGAAAATGGCCTAAAACCTCCTGTCCTGATTTTTAACGACGTGATCATGTCTGGGATCCCAAGCATCCGATGCCTCGATTCGTTCAGTCCTTGCAAGTGCCTACCCTTTCCCAGGGGCTGGAATTTCCTCCCGAGCTGCTCTGTGATGGCCCTTCGACAGTGGCCGAGGACCTCGCCTCGATCTTCTCAAGGCGCCTGGGGGAGGAGGAGGACGAGGAGGGGAGGAGAAGGGGGAGGGGGAGGGGG